ACAGCCAGAACGAGTAGAAGAGGAGGAAGAGGAGGTCCAGAGCAAGGCAGGAAAGAGCAATGCCGCCCAACAGCAACAGGGCCTGGGGAAGGAAAAAACACCATTGTCACATTTGACCACGTTGCATCCACAGTAGAGGGACCCAAACGCTTGAGGACTTGGCAGTGAGACCACCCTGAACCCAACCTTGGAAAAAAATGGGGATTTTTAGCCATTAGCAGGGGGGGTACTCTCCCCTTCTCCCCCTCTCTGCCCAGCTACACAAAACCAGCTTCTGCATCTAAACCATGAACAGCTGAGGCATTTCGTCCCCTCAAGACACAAGCAGCCTAAATGAATCAGGGAGGGTTTCCTCTCTGCTCCAGACCAGAGGTCAGCAGATTTAGAGAGAAAGAGGGGAAAAAAAAAAAAAAAATCAGCCAGCTGCCTCTATCTGTGCTGTTCTTTAATCTTCATGAATAAATATGCAGGCTTATTCATTAGAAACTCAAGTGCATGAGTGGGTTTGAAAGGAGGTGGAATTTATTATACATGTGTGAGATAGATTGATTTTTTTTTTTAAATCAATCCCCATGCAAAGCTTCTATTCTGGGTAGGCCTAGAATAAATGGTAAATCCCTTATATACCATCCATATATATAGATAGACCAAAACTAACACCAAATGTTACACGCACACACACTGGATTGAAGTGGTCACAAGCTTAGTTATCTTATTACATCTATTTCTATTCAGATGTTCCCTGAGAGAAAAGGGAAGCAATAAGTGTTAAAGTACATTCCAGTTCCATTTAACTCCATTCCAATTTCTTTTCACTCAGAAAATCCTGGCTAAAACCCAAAAAAGTAATCAATTTCATTTCCATACATACACACACACCGAAAAAAAAAAAAATAGCATCTAATCCAATTTTTTTTCTTTCCCCTGTGAAGGAAGAGCTCTTTGGGGCAAAGTCTGGCTAGTGGTGACAAATGACAGCTTATTAAAAATGGCTTAACTATCTGCAAAGGGCCTAAATCATCTCTTGCTGTCTCAATATTGCGAACAGTCCCGTATGAGCAAAGGTAAAACAAACGTTTGGGGTTCCTCCTCCTCCCCTTTTCCGCATCTCTTCTCCTCCTCATGCAGAAAGTCCTTAGTAGCACTTAAACGTTTCCTCCTCATCTGAGCAACTAACTTGTCAGAGGACCGAAACACAGAATGCTGCGGATAAAACCCTGGAAGATGCTCCATGGAGGCAGCAAACGCTTCCTGTGGGAGCTGGTGGTAGCTCCCTCCTCATGGGCTCTCCTCCCCGGCCCTCCTGCTCTGCGGGTCCATCCTGCTGCCTTAGCCCTCTTGATGGATCAGCTACTCCCTGTGGTAACAAGCCGATGTCGCGGCCTTCGGAGACCTACTCGGAGCCCACGGAGGCTGGGGAGGAGGAGGCTGCTTTCCAGGTACGGTTTCTCAGGCTCAACAGCACCACCTCAGCATTGCAGGAATGGAGAGCTGGGGGTTTTAAGAGGGGAAAAGTGGGGGTGGAAGGGAACAAGAACTATCCCCCTTTCCCATGGTGAGGCCAGATGGTGCGTGCGCCGTTTGCGTTCCCGAGCAGAAAGAGGCCTCCGAGAGGGAAGCTGGAGACCAAACCGGCGCTCCTGACAGCCTGCCATGCACCAGCACTCCATACTAATTTAACTAACACATTCTGCATCCAGGGCTCCTTGGGGATGGTCTTTATTTTTTAAATGCTTCAAGCTGCTGTAACACAAAGCTTCCCTCCGCCGCTTGCCTGCGCTTCTTCCTTCACACCCGCAACCTTCCTGCGCTCGCTAAAAGGCATCGCCTCGGGAAGGGGCTGAGAAGAGCCTCCCATCCACTCGTTAGCAAGGAAAAAAAACACCCTGCAGCTCCAGCTGCAGGGGAACAGCCCCCAGAAAAAAAAAGGAAAGCCAAAAAACACCACCACCATCACCAAACACACTGCCACGCACCAGGTAACTGAAAGGACACCTAAATATATGTTTTAATTTTAGCATTTAGCCAAAAGGACTTGGCTGGCTAATACATTGAGATCTGTGTTTCATTTTCCAAAGAATATTTGTTTTCCATTAATGGATATGAGCCATGACAACAAGTGAAATCATCCAGCAGAGCAGATATTAATCTTTCTGACTGATGACTCAGTTTAGGACGCAGAGACTGGCTGGCAGTGAAAGCCCAGTTCCAACCAAAGACATGTCTGTGCCTGCTTGTCGGGATTAAATGACAGTATTTAAAAAAGGGGGTTGAGGCTGGATAAAATCCTCAGACATTTTATCCTGCCACACTAAATCTGGGACTCGGTTATCCAAGGCCACGCTATCCCGAGTAAATGTAAAATTATGCACTGGGCCTTTTGCCACAAAAGAGCATCAATTCATCTTCCAGCATTTGCTGAACTATCAGAACCTCTACAGCAAATGATGCATGAACTACACTTACAGGGAAATGGAGACAACTTGGAGGAGCAACATTTTACCACTGTGCTGACACTAATGGGAGAAGCGGAGACAGAGCAGTCCCTGAAAATGAGCGTAAATCCAAGTGGTATCAGCCAGAGCGGCAGGGCACGAAGCTAGCGCTAAGAAGCATCTTCAAAATAAAAGCTAACTAAAGCATGCACGGAAAAGCACGCAGGGAGCACTGCTGGCTTGGAAAGACACCTGAAAATGCTCAATCTGCCTTGCACGGGGCTGTGCTGGGCAGCGCTAACAGCCTTTCCTGACTCCAGGGTGGCTGCCAGGATTCCCGGGACCTACTCCCCCAGGGGGGATAGGAAGCGAAGCAAGAAGCGGGAACAGCTGGATCCCCACACGCAAAAAGGAGGCACCATGAGCAAATAAACATGGGACATGGCAAAAACAGCCTCCTGCAAACATCCGGGGCTAGTTAGTGCTGATCAGGCATTCCCAGGAGCTCTCACACAGTGTAAGGGAGTAGGATTATATCCAAGACCATATATACAGGTTCAGCCTTCGGCAGTGTCGTTCTTAGTCTATGAAATCACTCACCAACGAGTAAGGCCTTACACCATTGCAGAGGGACCTAACAAACATACAGCCTTGTCCATCAGATGAAAAATCTCCACACAAATCTGTTGGTTTCAGCTCTTTTGGACCACTGGTTCCCAAGCATGACCAAGGGCACTAGTTACCCGAATATACCTCTGATTACCGTGATCCTAAGGCTAATTTTAGCTACTGAAGCTGCAATTGAGATTAAAATCCACAAATATACCTCATCCCATTCATCCTCGTTAGGAAGTGCCCCCACATCGCAAACTATCCTTGCAATCGCAGTCACAAACGAGAAAGATGGTCTACCTAATGACATGAGAAAGGGGATAGAGAAGATACGTTTGAATAAGTTCCCTTGTGAGGGAAGGCCTAAAGAAATCCAGCTCCGTACTGAAGGAGGGCAGTGCCGGCAGCGAGTGAGGTTTCACACTGCGTTAGGGGCTCCGTGTTCCCACCTGGCTGCACCCAGGAGCGTTGGCTCAGGGACTTGTCCTCCTCACGCCACCAGTTCTCCTCTGCCATGATGTTCACTCGGCACAAGAAGTCCTGGCGCACAGGGCAGGGATAGAGAGTTAACCTTGAACACACACGAGCTCAGAAGGATCCATGCGTTTATTGACTACAAGTTTTGCCAGCCTGGAGCTGTCAAACTTCCAATTATCACACTTCTTGGACATGAACTGTACTCAGAGCAGCATGGCAGAGCAGCAAACAGCTATTCACATGGAATAGCTGGCAGCTTTTTCTGAAGAACACTGCTGTCTTAGTAGTTGAAAAGTCCACTGAAACATCACGAAGCAACTCAGGAGCAAAGCTGAAGGCCTTCAGATAGTTCCTTATAAGCAAAACTCCAAGCTTTTCATCTTCCATGAATAATTTTAAAATTATTTTAACTTCCAACACAGTAATTTCAACCCATAGGATAAAATATAAGACTCTAACCACTCTAGCTTTTGAGCATCTGAACAACACAGCTGGCTTAATCATTGCCAGACTATGAACTGTTTATCATTTTACCTTGAAAGTTAGCTTTTGCCAAGAGAAAGCTTTCCGCTCAATCTGCAACTAATGTTCCTTCTGGATTTCCATGCAGTGACTTGAGAATGCAATAATAAAACACGGAGAAGAGGTTAAAGGAGTGTGGGAAGGGGGAAACGTTCACCCAGAAGAACAAATGAAGCAAGCTGGGCCGCTGCCAAAGGAGCTCTTATATCTATTTATTCCATGAAGGACTGAAGTCTTCTTAGCAAGAAAAGAAACTGCTGTGTGCTGAAGTCCTCCCTGCACTACTTTCTACACCGTTTTTGCAAAGCCTGGAACATCTAAGCAGTTCATGGATTCATAGATCGCAAGCGCCCTATCAAACAGACCTTTTTTTAAGGCTGGCAACATGGAAACAATCTGATCCTTCATCAGCTTGTTCTGAATGGGCTGTGTGTCCAGAGACCCATTTTTTCTTTCCTTTCCCCTTCCAGCGAGAAGGGCTGCATGGGGAACAGCCTCGCCGGGGTGTGTGGAGATCGCTCGGTGTCTCGGGATGTCACTCATCCCACAGCCGCTGCAGGCGGAAGCAGACTCGGGCAGGGAAGGCAGCCAGCCACGTACTGGCAAATCTAAACAGAGAGAGGGGAGAAGGGGGGAAAAAGGAGGGGGGAAAGGATGTGGAAACCGCTGCCTGATCTCAGCACTAAACCATCCACATCTCCTCTGCCTGGGGGACAGGCCTTCCCAGGCCAATTACACTATTCAGCACAGCAGAGAAGTAAGGCCGGGCAGGAAACACGTTGTGGAAGAGCCTTTTCCCACGGTACCAAGATGTATCCTCCTTTGTTAAGGATCCCTCGGCAGCAAGGAAGAGCACCATGGAAACAGCGGGCAGGTTCCACGGCCTCAGCTCCTCACAGACACCTCCCCGAGAAAGCACCCTGCAAGAAAGTGCAGTAGATCGTAGATAGACGTATCAAGAACGAGTCTACACTGGAGCAGGGATGTTGGCCAACACTTTGTCCTTAGCTGCCTTAGGCTATTGACAGCATTACTG